GTGTGTGTAACTGAAAGGTTTCTCGTTAATTGGGTCGGTCGGCTATTACCTTTAATCTCTTCTGTTTCCCTTCAACGGTCATGAAGTGGTAGGCGAAACGTAAACACTTGTATGGGCATGTGAAAAAAAAAAAAGAGGACAGTGTACACGTACGAGTCAGTCAGAAAAAGCATGGTCTCCAGCTATCAATCTTTTGTCACCAATTTTCTCCTGGCTAACTTCTCGGAGGCCAGTGAGTTTTCCGGGGTCCTCGTTGATGCCGGCTACTACTGTATGAAATATTTGAAAATAAAATATGCCTCACGCTGTTCGCGCTCGCGTCTGTTTGAGAAACCGGTACTGCAAAAGAGTTACGCTGATATTTTCAGAACTGTGGTTTGGGAGGCGCAGATGTCTAGATAAAGGTTAGCTTCGGCAGTGAAGTGGGTTGGTACCGGTGATTATTGAACCGCAGCCGAAATGGCGTGTCTGTTTGGCGATATATTCTTGTTCGCAGATGTTGCAATGCTAGCATGTATATTATACTGCTACATTGCATCTACATGCTACATTGCATGTATATGGAAGCCGGAATTCCTGCTTACGTTGGTAATTTTTTCATCCACTTTCTTTCTTCTTATTACATTCCATTAATGTTAATAGCTTCCCCTGTACGTTCTCTTGGCATTACTGTCTGTTATATCTCATTATTATTGTGTTAAAAACACGGAAAAAACGAGCCCTTAGGTATACACTTCTTTCCCTTATATATATATATATATATATATATATATATTATATATATATAAGATGATAATTTATTCGACGTTCGCGGGGGTAAAACAGCTTCGCTAGCCGGCCCGTACAAACGGCTAACACGATGAACGAGCTCTAGAGCATGGCTAGTATAATGAATAAACCTCCCTTCCGTAAAAAGAAAAAGAAGAACGTTCCGACAAGGGGGATAATACGTTTCTCTTTGATTGGGTTTCATGCCAAACAACAAACGTACGTTTTAGGTATAGCGAAGAATCTTTGGGAGAAGTTTACCCGCATAAAAACGATTTTTCTTTAACGCCTCTCAACCGGAAGCCATATACTAACGTTATCTTCTCAGTCGAAAAGAAACGAGCTTCAAGAAAATAACATTTTGAAAAGATCCGTACCCTGCGTTCTCTGCTTAGTGTGCATAATACGTGGAATCACGGAGCACGTTTTTGTACATTGTCTTTTTTCTGTGGGTCCGAGTTGTCCCGGGACAATGACAAATAAGGAAATTAGGAAATATGGAAGTGTAAGAGGATGGCTAAGTAATGATCAGTGACTCGTAAGAGTGAAGAAAAAATTAACGCAGGTGAAAGAAATTGAAATTAGCAGATTATAGGGAGGGCCCTCGAACACTCTACCTGCGAGGCTTTTAGAGGAAATTACCTAAATATTATAAATAACCAGACGTGAGACTACTTGTCGTTGAAAGGAATCGGTAGAAAAGAAAGTTTCAACCGTTTGCCAGTAAAGTGAAGAATATTGATCGTAGGTAACTATAACTTTATTCCTTTGCCTTGTTTATCATCATTAGGCACGCTGGTGGTTAGCACAAGACGGTGCACGTTCTAAGTTAAAAAATATGTGGTATGTAGCAATAAATTTGTGATTAAGAAGAAAAGGGCATTTTTAATAATACGCTTGCGGCTGGACCATGAATAACACGCTTCGGGGAAAATATATACACACCAAATCAACAAAAACAAGGAGAATAAAATGTAAGGTGGGGCACCTACTACCTCTGCGTACATCGACAATCAAAATACTCGAAAAAGCATACAATTGCGAGGTCACCAACAACGTTTTCTTTCATGGAAGCAATAGCAAAGCCCTTGAATTTAGCGATTCTAAAATTGATCAGAAAAATAAATGTGTGCAAAATATGAAAGACTTGCGCTCAGAAGATAATTGTAGCTCTCGAAATGTGTTCTTTGAAGCTACTCATTGCCATTTACGCGAGTGATGTATTGCCAAGAAGCTCTTTGACTCACGTGTGTAACGCCGCACGTACGTGCATTCGTACGAACACGCCGTAACGCGTTCATCTCGCCGCAGGTGTTGGAGCGGCCCCAAGTAGGTGACGTCGCAGCTGTGCGTTGACGTCACGCTTCCCTCGCAAGCTTTCCTTTCAGGTACACGCTGACGTCACTTTCTTCCTCACCCGCAGCACGTTTGCCGCAGCACCCTCGGCTGCCGGCTGCTCCGCCCGCTCGCAACACACTTCTCTCTCGCTTCACCATTTCCACCGCTCTTAACGTTCGACCTCACTTCAAGTAGAACCCCTCTTTCGGCTGATTTGCGATGAAAGTTACACAAAACAGAACCCGCCTACCATGTCTTTGCGTTTCAAACAAACGTTTACTCGAGTAAACGCTACACCAAGTTTCGCTTCCAACCGCTCTTCCAGCACCTTCGTCGACGTGCGTTCCAAACAGGTCAATGCCGTGTGCACCACTGCTATCACATCGTGGTTCCCTTAGGGGTGATCGTCTAATTTCCTTATATTAGCATATGTGTAAAAACGAAGCCGGCTTACATGTGTCTTGAACGTGCTTGACATAACCGAGATATGGTTCCTCCTTCAGTATAACTGTAAATATTTACATACGCGAGATAATTTTACCATATCCGAGAGGTATCGTGCGGTGCCCTTGATAAATACAGAATCATTACATTGTTATGAGCAGCAATCTGCGAAAGCATATCACGTTGCTTCTATCTCTTTCCATTAGGTAAAAAATATTCTCTGTAGAATGAAATAATAGCGACACGCTTATCGTAACTCTGGTATAATCTCAACTATCGATTGTGTCACACGTAACAAAGTTCTGCTGTATGTACGTACGTGAAGAAATTCCTGGGTGCTTTCTTTTAGCGTGAACTAAACAGCCGTCTTGCTGACACGTTGTCAGGAGCATCCTGCGCTAACTAGTTAAGCTCGCGTTGTACTTCACTCATTTGCAGGCGGTCATGTAAGTCATGCTATCACACTTGCCCCCTCGTTACGCTCAAACACGCGAGCATGCAATAAGTCCTCCTACCCTCTTACGAGCTTTACGCCATCTTTGCTACTTTGTGTCTCTAATAGTGCAAACAACCTCAAGTGTCACATCGCGGTAGTTGCTTCGCTACCGTAAAAAAAATACTCAGGAAAACCGAGCAGGGACGAGCAGCAGTTCCCAACTTGAAAACACAACGCTGACATAAATTCTAACGATACGCAACAAAAAAAAAAACATTACCAGGCGGGCAAAACAAATTTATTTATGATTGCGAAAAGTGTTAAGTGTGTTCCTCGGAAACAAACATATTTATGCCCAGGATTCAGCGGGGAAATACGAATCTTTCCAATGTCGTAAGTGCTGCATTGAACACGAAACTGCAGTTACGTGCACCCAAGTTGATATTGATGCGTTGCGTTTCAATTTATGCTGATTTCATTCACTCACGAAGGAAGTGAATTGTTGATGATTGATTTGTGGGGTTTAACGTCCCAAAACTACCATATGATTATGAGAGACGCCGTAGTGGAGGGCTCCGGAAATTTCGACCACCTGGGGATCTTTAACGTGCACACAAAATCTGAGTACACGGGCCTACAGCATTTCCGCCTCCATCGGAAATGCAGCCGCCGCAGCCGGGATTCGAACCCGCGACCTGCGGGTCAGCAGCCGAGTACCTTAGCCACTAGACCACCGCGGTGGGGCAGGAAGTGAATTGTCTTTGTGTAGGCTTATCGGAGTGCTCGCTCAGTTCGCATGCGAACCGAGCTTCAACACTTCACGGTGTTCGAGTTTCTCCAGCATATTATTTTACGCATGAAGGCACTGCATAAAAAAAATGAAAGAAAAAGAACGAGCCAAACTCACTACTAAGGTTGATTGATTGATATGTGGGGTTTAACGTCCCAAAACCACCATATGATTATGAGAGACGCCATAGTGGAGGGCTCCGGAAATTTTGACCACCTGGGGTTCTTTAACGTGCACCCAAATCTGAGCACATGGGTCTACACACTACTAAGGTTGTGGTTGTCTTTGTGCACGTAGGAACAGCACGGGAATGAATTCTAAAGTAGACAATGTTGCTGTTGTAACGGTGAATTACACAATGTTATTCAATATTTTTCAACATTTACTACAAATTATTCAACCGTAACCGTCATGTAGCCAATATATGGTCATGCTGATTGGCATTTGCCGATAGTACACCGATCTGATTTTGCCTTACAAATCATTTAGCCATGTTTAGCCAGCATGAGCCATCATATAGCCGTATCCGAGATTAGACATCACAACTGATCATTACCGGACACACCCAAATAAATACGACGGCCAATTAGGACAGAGATAGTGACACTTGCTGGCAGAAAAAGTGTTCCGCACTCGCCACGATGGCTATAAGAACGGCGCTGCCCAACACTCCGCAGAATTACCATACATTCATACTTAACAACGTTAACTGTGGAGCGCCTTCCATCCTTTTTCAATTGGCAGAGCATTGGACGCGTCCTTTGGATGTTGTGGTTTCAGATTTCATCGAAGGACAGGATGCTCTTTCGTCCACTTGATTTCTCTTCACTTTGCTTCGTTATTACTACACTAGAGTCTGATAAAAACACAATTAGTGGTTACTATGCTTTTCTTGGCTTAATTATCCGTGGGATTCATTCGATTGTGTCGAACTAAAAAAATGAGTCCCTCGAAAAAAGTGATCTTTTATATATGGTACTAATTGATATCCCCATATATCCAACAGTGACTTGTGCTAAGAAGCGAGTGGATAGTTGTATACTTGTATGCATGGTACCTCATGACGTGGGGTGTTGGAAAGAACAGGGGTGAGTACGCTGTGGTAACGTTTAATGCACTTGAAATAAGTGGTCCCTTCATTCCTGTTATATTCCCGTAATGGGTACATTTGCGTCATCAAGGCCTCTTGTTTTTCGAAACTCAGAAATTGACGTTTATTTGCAGAGGCTCACCGAGAATGCGGAAGCAATGGAACCTGGCTGCACGGAAACTGGACCAACTACACCGAGTGCTTGGAGTTGCTGCCGCAGGTCAGTTAACTTTCCGATTCAGTGGGTCGCGACTTCTAAGTCAAATGCAGCGCCACTCCGCAAGCTGTTCTGAGCGCGAATAATTCGCCTAACTAAAAGCTGACGTCAAACCACGACGTCAGAAGAAATTGCCCAAACGCCAAGTGGAAAGTGCCTTTCTCGTGTAGGGCACTCCTCCGACCTGAAAACTTAATAAGTGTACCTTATCTTGAACGTTCGGAATCCACTCTGATTATACTAATTCGGAAGGGCACAATCCTGTTAAAAACTGCGTTACATCTTTCATTGGACTAAAGAAGATAGAGAAGAAAAATCGTCACGCTAACTTTAATTTACCTTCTGTGCAAAAAAACAAACAAACAAAATAGGAACACTCAGTTACCCATATTCGCTACAAGTAAGCTGTTTATATTGTGCCCCGGTTTCATAAGTAGAAGAAAAAAAAAGAATGGGTCATCACAACGAAAGAATGATAATGACTAGATAACCTCGTTTCATCGTCACGCAAAACCTAAACAAGGCTAACAGACATTGAAGCAAAGGAAGACGCAGGGGACAATATATGTGGTTCTAACAGTGATGCTGTTCTTGCTCGAGCCTTTTATGTTCAGGATCCGTGGTAACGCTTATGGGAATAGTAAACACATATGCACCACAGACAGAAGGTAAATCCCACTGATTATTACTTGTCCACTGAAAATAAGTTCTACAGTTGGCCGAACAGATGCCACGCATGTTACCATAGTCGCACCCCTATAACGTGAAACTTTGCGGTTATATGAGGTGGTGGCTTATCTGCCACATGAGGGCTTGACAAAGAGTGTTTAATGAAGCGCAGTTATACAACATAGCAGAGCACCTTATGCGGAGCCTTCTTTTTAAACCAGTGTATCAGAGTATACTCAAGATACAATAAAACTATACTAATACCTCTAACCCTAGCAGAGTATTTGATAAAGAGCAGTGAATATATATGAATGACTTGCTAAAAATATAAATACATCGCACCCTGACGAAAGGAATGCCACAAGCTTCGCCATTTTATCAGTGTACACGAAGAGGATATTTTTAAATCTTAGCAGGAGTGTTGTAATTATGCCATAAATTGAAGTAAACGGAAGTGGAAGAAAAAACGTAAATCCTCCGGTATACAGACCAAACGTACAACCTTCGCAAGGTTGTAAGTTCGTGATATTTGTTCTTCAAACGTGGCAACTTTGCTTGAAACTTCTCTGGATAAAAATCCAAGCTATGCCTAATTTCGTAGAATCGTAGTAGAAATGCGTAGAATCGTAGTAGGCATCACACCCTGATAATTGCATTACAAGTCAGTGGCGTAAAGCTTTCCACCTGTCACAAAAGGCTCAGTAATGATTCGACATCATCATCAACAATAACGAAGATCACAAAGTATGCAGATTCATTGGTACATGTATTGTTTTAAAGGCACGCAGTGGGTAATACTTCACAAAATGGTAAATTGCAGCGTAATGGCCACTTAGCAACTGTACACTTGCAGTAGGTTTATTGGGCGAGTTTACAAAGGCAAATGTCATGCCCACACAGCATTCATGACATCTATCACGGCATTCACGGAGAAGCAAGGTCGAGACAATGGAATGAAAAGGCGATTTGAATGCTGCCCGAAATGCCATCGCGTTCCAGTTTTAAATGCGAAGTTTAAGGACCCTCCGATCTCTCTTTGTTTATCAGCCTGTGCCAAGTGTTCTCCTCTCTCCTCTTATCGTTTTACAGAATCTTTGGGAGCTTTCGTTAACCTTATGCTAACTAAAATTGCCGGTAAGAAAAAAGAAAGTCAGTGTAATTAGTATTATGCCATTCAAACTCTCAGATGTCATCTGTGCATATGCAAGGCTCTTAGCACCCACCTGAGTTTATTAAGATTACTAGTGATATACAGATAACCAGCAATCGCTGATGACTAGTACTTACGTCTTATAGCATGTGCAGCATATGTGCCTGAATTTTCCTTCTATTTTTTTTCTTTTTTTATATTTCTTCCTGATCTTTCGTGAACTTTTGCTAACAATTAAAAAAATTAACGGCTAACGTAACATTGTGATGCCATTTAAACTTACATGGGTTCTTTATACATGCAAGTCTCTCTTCATTTTTCATTGTTCTTTACATTATTCTTATCTTTCTTTAACATTTGTTTTAAAAACTGCACTTAAGCCAAGGAAAGGCTAACGTAACTACTTTTTAACCGTTTATACTGACATGGGTTGCTTCTACAAAGTTATTAGGACCTTTGTTCAGCTTTATAACTAGCAATTAGCGCCCCCTTTCCTAAAACACACACACAAATTGTTTTTTTCTTTAAGTGCCATAATTACCTGCACCATCAGCGCACTGCAGCGCACATTTGTCGTTCGTTTAATATTTATTTTGTTTTCTATGTTGACGGTTTTTTATCGCGCTACAAATCGACCTCACTGATTTTCGGTGCTGATGGTAACTTTCAACGTTTAATCAATGCTGCCCGCTCGTAGTGCCGTAAACATCTCTGATTTCATTCTTTCTTGTTTCATAATCATTCACATTTTTATCGCGACCAGTCTTCAACTAGATTTATTAACACTCACAGATGCCCTCTGCAAATCTTTCTCCCCGGCCGCATTGTCACAGTAGACACGGTTAATATGTAGGTGAAGGCAACGTGCACACTCGAAAGTCTAAAAATGATAGGACTCTTACGTTTCGCATCTCTAAGTGTGGTACGCGGTTTTCAAGCCACAGCCTTCTCGTCCACTTATCAATCTTCGTTCCTCGGTGGATGCCTCAAGCGTACTGCGAAAAAAAGATTTTCTGTGAGCATGACACTTGCCGTTGGGAGCTCTCCGGTAAGGCAGTAAGACGGAGCGATCGTAAATAAGTTCACCATGGCTCCTGTAAGGCTCAAACTGCAAACGCTTTTTTAAAGTACCCAGTGTGCCATAGTTCACAATTTCGCGAAGCTGCGAGTTGCAAACTAGGCATCTGTAAGGCAACAGACGCACCTACCTTGCTGCTCACTATTGACGCTATGACCCATGACGATGATGATGATGGCAATGATGATGATCATAGCGATGATGATGAATGGTGGTGGAGCCCTTTGCAATAGAGGGCAGCTTTAAACGGCTCACTCGTTTTGAATTTCGCGTGAAGTGGCGAATTCTGCGTTTGTGTCACATGTTTTAGGCACTGTTTCAAACACTGGTGTGACCCAGGGGTAGGGCCCTTGATTGCCACGCCGAATGCCGGGTTCGATTTTGGCTCGCACTCCGAGTTTTATTGTTTGAATACACGGAGAATTTCCGCTCGCGGACAATGCCACCAACGCTGCATTTCCTGTGGCACGAGCTCTTTATCGCTATTGCGTTATTGTGAATGTCAGCTAAGCCTGGCGGTAGCGTTTGCTAACTGGCGTTTACCCACGCGGGTGAAGTATTACTATCTCTGACGTCAATGTGGCTTCCGCGAATGAGTCGAGCCCTTGAACGCGCTAAGCGTATGTTGGAAACGGGGACGTCAGATCGGGAATGTTAGCACATGAAAGGATGTCATATTACTCCCCACAGATTCAGTAGCTTTACAAGCTCTGACATTAAACGCTCGTATTTTGCTACGTTTAAGTATTCGGAAGCATCATATAAAATGATGAGACATTTTTGTTATTATTGAGAGGATAGTTTTGTACACGCACTTTTCTTTTCGGTCTATTTGCAGTATGGCGTGTTTTATTTTTTTTGAGACCGACGTTAAAAAAGGAAAAAAAGAAAAAAAAAAGAACAACAGCAACACGTACTAGCGACAACATCTATCCTCACAGGCAATCACATACTTTCGACTGGGGCTTCCTTGTGCATTTCTTGAGAGGTCATGTTTCCAAAAGAGTGACCTCAAAAACTGTCACTTATTCACCTATTTTTCTTTTTTTTTCTTTTTTAGAGTTGAGTTTTTGAAAAAAGCTTCTGTTTGTCGTTTTTCATGATCACTGGAGGGTCATACACAGTCCTGAATGATCGTCAGTTATATTTAATTGAGACGTCAGCAATTATTCTGGGACTCATATTTTCGCGGCACGAGCACGCAGTAGTGAATGATGAAGAAATTTGGCCTGCGTCCTGTGTCCAGTGACAGCTAGCATTATTGGGCCTTGTAAATTTCAGTACGCCTTTTTGCAAGACATTTTTGTAATGCGGCAGAAGTGGCTTAAAAAGGCAATTTGTTTGTGATAGAACAAGGTCAGGACGTTTCAGATCTGCTGTCCCTTTTTTTTCAAGCGAAATCTTTAAGATTTTAGTACTTCCAGGATGCTCGAACAGTAGTTATCATTATCATTATTGGTACGCACTCACACCATTTCATTACATTGATGTTCCGCTCCCACGACGCGTGTGTCGATACGGCTGCTGCATGTAATGCAACGCATTTTGGTGGGCGAGCCTGTTACGTGACTGAATATCACGCAACATCGCGTAACAACTACTCACGGGGCTGAAAAATTACGTTACACCACTCGTGAAAATATTCCGTGCGTTTCCGTAACATCACTTCATGCGATTATTAATTAAGCACCACCATGCGGTAAATAGGCGCACGACTAAAAGCAACGTAACATTACGTAACAATCAGTCGCGTGAGCAAGAGTAACATCAGAACTACAGGCACGTGACTAAAATCACAGAATATTGCACAACAGCTACTAACATGGCATGTTCCCGCCCTAAGTCAAGGGGCAAGCAGCCACAGAACAAATAACGCAACATCAAGTCACAAGATTTATCATGTACGTAACATTCATCATCATCATCATCATCATAATCATCATCATCATAATCATCATCAGCCTGACTACGTCCACTGCAGGACAAAGGTCTCTCCCATGTTCCGCCAGTTAACCCGGTCCTGTGCTTGCTGCTGCCAATTTGCACCCGCAAACGTCTTAATCTCATCTGCCCACCTAACCTTCTGTCTCCCCCTAACCCGCTTGCCTTCTCTGGAAGTCCAGTTAGTTACCCTTAACGACCAGCGGTTATCCTGTCTACGCACTACACGTCCGGCCCATGTCCATTTTTTCTTCTTGATTTCAGCTATGATATCCTTAACCCCCGTTTGTTCCCTAATCCACTCTGCTCTCTTCTTGTCTTTTAAGGTTACACCTACCATTTTTCTTTCCATTGCTCGTTGCGTCGTCCTGAATTTAAGCTGAACCCTCTTTGTAAGTCTCCAGGTTTTTGCTCCGTAGCTAAGTGCCGAAAAGATACAGCTGTTATATACCTTCTTCTGGAGGGATAGTAGCAATCTACATGTCATAATTTGAGAGTGTTTGCCAAATGTGCTCCACCCCATTCTTATTCTTCTAGTTACTTCAATCTCGTGGTTCGGCTCCGCGGTTATTACCTGCCCTAAGTAGACATAGTCTTTTACAACTTGAAGTGCACTATTACCTATCTCGAAGCACTGCTTTTTTCCGAGGTTGTTGTACATTACTTTCGTTTTTTGCAGATTCATTTTAAGACCCACCTTTCTGCTCTCCTTGTCTAACTCCGTAATCATGAGTTCCAATTCGTCCCCTGAGTTACTGAGCGATGCAGTGTCATTGGCGAAGTGCAGGTTACTAAGGTACTCTCCATTAACTCTTATCTTTAACTGTTCCTATTCTAGGCTTCTGAAAACCTCCTGTACGCACGCGGTAAATAGCGTTGGGGAGATTGTGTTCCCCTGCCTTACACCCTTCTTGATTGATATTCTGTTGCTTTCTTTATGAAGCACTATGGTAGCAGTTGATCCCCTGTAGATTTCTTCCAGAATGTTTATATATACTTCATCGACGCCCTGATTCCGCAGTTTCTGCATGACGTCCGATATTCCTACTGAATCAAACGCCTTCTCGTAATCTATGAAGGCTATGTATAGTGGTTGGTTATATTCTGAGCATTTCTCTATTACCTGATTGATAGTATGAATGTGGTCGATTGTTGAGTAGCCTGTTCGAATCCTGCTTGTTCCTTTGGTTGATTGCACTTTAATGTTTTCTTTACTCTGATAGCAATTACCTTTGTAAACAGCTTGTATACTACAGAGAGCAAGCTAATCGGCCTGTAATTCTTCAAGTCCTTGTCATCTCCTTTCTTATGTATTTACATGACGTTAGCGTTCTTCCAAGACTCTGGTACTCTTCCAGTGAGGAGACACCTCGTAAACAGGGTGGCTAGTTTTTCTAGCACAATCTCTCCTCCATCTTTCAGCAGATCTGATGTTACCTGATCCTCACCAGCAGCTTTGCCTCTTTGCATGCTCTCCAAAGCTGTTCTGACTTCTTCTATCATTACTGGTGGGGTGTCATCAGGGTTACTGCTAGTTCTTATAGTATTAAAGTCGTGGTTGTCCCGGCTACTGTACAGATCTCTGTAAAACTCCTCCGCTATTTTAACTACCCTATCCATATTGGTAGCTATTTTGCCTTCTTTGTCCCTTAGTGCATACATCCGATTTTTGCCTATCCCAAGTTTCCTCTTCACTGCTTTGACGCTTCCTCTGTTTTTCAGAGCGTGTTCAATTCTCTCCATGTTATACCTTCTCACATCGGGTACTTTACGCCTATTAATCAACTTCGAAAGCTCTGCCAGTTCTATTTTGTCTGTTGTACTTGAGACTTTTATGATTTGACGCTTCTGAATGAGATTCTTCGTTTCCTGGGAAAGCTTGCCAGTGTCCTGTCTAACTACCCTGCCTCCAACTTCCACTGCACACTCCGTAATGATACTCGTCAGATTATCATTCATTGTATCGTCTTCGTTTCCTGGGAAAGCTTGCCAGTGTCCTGTCTATCTACCCTGCCTCCAACTTCCACTGCACACTCCGTAATGATACTCGTCAGATTATCATTCGTTGTATCTATGCTAAGGTTGGTTTCCTCACTAAGAGCCGAGTACCTGTTCTGAAGCGAGACTCTGAATACCTGTACTTTCCCTCTCAGAGCTAGCTCATTGATGGGCTTCTTGCGTATCAGTTTCTGTCGTTCCTTCGTCAAGTCTAGGCGAATTCGAGACCGTACCACTCTATGGTCACTGCATCGTACCTTGCCAACCACTTCCACATCCTGCACGATGCCAGGGTGTGCACTCATTATAAAGTCTATTTTGTTCTTATTATTGCCATTAGGGCTCCTCCATTTCCATTTGCGGTTTCCTCGTTTTCGGTAGAAGGTATTCGAAATCTATAAATTATTGCGTTCTGCGAATTCTACTAGTTGCTCTCCTCTGGCGTTTCTAGTGCCGATGCCATAATCTCCCACTGCCTGGTCTCCAGCCTGCTTCTTCCCTACCTTTGCATTAAAGTCTCCCATCAGTATTGTATACTGTGTTTTTACCTTACTCATTGCCGATTCCACGTCTTCATAGAAGCTTTTAACTGAAGCGTCATCATGGCTGGATGTAGGCGCGTAAGCCTGTACCACATTCATCTTGTATCTCTTATTCAGTTTAATTACTATACCTACGACCCTTTCATTAATGCTATAGCATTCCTCTATGTTGCCAGCTATGTTTCTGTGAATTAGGAACCCCACTTTCAGTTCTCTTCTGTCAGCCAAGCCCCGATAGCAAAGGACGTGCCCATTCTGTAGCACCGTATAGGCCTCATCTGTCCTCCTAACCTCACTGAACCCTATTATATCCCATTTAACACCCTCTAGCTCCTCGAATAGTACCGCTAGACTTCCCTCACTTGATAAGGTTCTAGCGTTAGCGTTGCCAAGTTCACGTTCCAATGGCAGGCTGTCTGGATCCAGAGATTCTTAGCACCCTCTGCTGCGTTGCAGATCTGACCGCCGCCGTGGTCAGTTGCTTCGCAGCCGCTGGGGACTGAGGGCCGTGAGTTATCTGACGTATGCATGTGGGAGGTAGTGGCCAGAAACTGCACCAGGGTGGCCAATCCTTCTCTGGTGAGGGAGTGCTTTTCCGGTGGTGGTTGCCGGTGAGGCCGCACCCCAGGCCTCGAAATGCAGTTTCATCACCACGCGAATTTTTTTTTTATCTGGTTGGGGACTGCGTGGTACCGGGATTTGAACCACGGACCTTTTGCATGCGAGGTGGATGCTCTAACCACTACGCCATCGCTGCTTATCGTAACATTAGGTAACGTCGTAACAACGTAACATTAGGTAAGGTTGATACGTTATACGTGGGATTTAACGTCTCAAAACCACCATATGATTATGAGAGACGCCGTAGTGGAAGGCTCCGGAAGTTTCAACCACCTGGGGCTTTTTAACGCGCACCCAAATCTGAACACCTGGGCCTACAGCATTTTTGCCTCCATCAAAAATGCAGCAGCCATTGCCGGGATTCGATCCTGCGACCAGCGAGTCAGCAGCCGAGTACCTTAACCACTAGACCACCACGGTGGGGCGTCATTAGGTAACGTTGCTCAAATCACGTAACATCACATAACAGTGAGTCACGTGGCATGTTCCCGAAAAAACCACGTATATATCCTGATAGTTACGTGAGTGAAATTATGTAACCTCACGCAACCGTTTGCCACTTGACACTTTGCCGTAAAAAACACGTAACAGCTGGTCACGTCACTCAATACTAGACGCGTGACTAGAATAACCTGGCGTCATGTAACTCGCAAAGTGAGTAAGAATCACGTAACACTCACGTAACGACTACGCACGTGACTAAAATGGCGCAACTACTCGTCACGTGTCAGAAATCGCATAGCACCACGTGAATAGTCGGGTGTCATGTTCCCGCCAAACTACGCAAATTCTAATGGCGTGACATTTCCCCGCTAAAAACCCCGTGACAAGCCACCGACCGAAACCGGAGAAGCAAACCCGAGTCTAGTTATGCTCAGCACTGCTATAAAAAAATAAGCATTCTCAAGCAAAAGCACGGAATTTCTAGCAAAACTTACCCAGGTGGAACACCGACTTTGATCTCTTTTTCAACCTTACACTATGACAGCTAGCTGCACACTTTTTTTAAAGAAAAAGTAAATCACAACAGTTATTTCCAGAGCTCTCACTTTTCCAGTGCCTCGAAATGGGTCGCAACCCTGACAAGTCGATACGAAAAGAAGATGATGAAAAAAACAAAACTGATGTTTGAGATATGGTAATGTCTCAGTCATCGGCTTCGTTTAGCATTTCTCCACTTCCGGAAATCTCCCTTTGCGGAAACGCCTTTCAACTATTTACACATCAATTCATTTATATATATTAAAAGAGAAAGAGAGACGGGGGTTGCATGCAGATGTCAATATCGATGGAAATGATCTGCTGGCTATCAATTTCTTGCAAAAGCACGTTTTTCGCATTGTTCCCAACGAGATACTTCTAACACTAAAATAACGTCTCGCTAACTGATGCGAAAGATTATTTCATTGTTTTTTCTTTGCTAGTAATTTCTTGGTAAACCTTGGAAACCGCTAATATTGAACGGTATATGAGTTCTCACTTTTTTTCTTTCTTCGCAGTCCGGGCCCAGCAGCATTCCAGCCATAGCGAGCTACATTCTTCTGGTCTTCTCGCTCACCAGCCTGGTGGCGCTGTGTGTGACACTATTCATCTTCACGTACTTCAAGTAAGTGCGCACTTCGCTTGATCTTTTAGGGGCGAAACTCCTTATGGCCTGGGTCTGTCGCTCCTCCTTCTCCTCATCATCATTCTTCTCCTCCTTCATATGTATTTATGTATGTATGTATGTATGTATGTATGTATGTATGTATGTATGTATGTATGTATGTATGTATGTATGTATGTATGTATGTATGTATGTATGTATGTATGTATGTATGTATGCATGCATGCACGCATGCATGTACGCATATATGTATGTATGTACGTATGTATGCATGCATGCATGCATGCATGCATGTATGTATGTATGTATGTATGTATGTATTGTTGCGGATCCCACTGCTGCCAGTAGTTGTTGGGGATCCGGTGCTGAGTCGTATCCCACCGCTGCCAACCAGTTGTGGTGGGATACGACTCAGCACCGGATCCCCAACAACTGGTGGCAGCAGTGGGATCCGCAACAACACAACTGGTGGCAGCAGTGGGATCCGCAACAGTATGTACGTAGCCATCGTACCCCCTCTAGAGCGGGTATGTGCCACAGCTGTTGCAAGATGGGAGATGGCGGTACTTGGAGCATTCACTAGATGGACGCAAGGACGGAGGGATGGACAGACTATCAGAAGGACATACGGATGGATGGACGTATGGACGCACGAACGGACGGACAGATGCATGGGCACACGAACGGACGCATGTATTGACGTACGGATGGTCGCTCGTACGGACGGAAGCAAGAACGAATGAACGGATGGATGGAAGCACGGACGGGCTGGCGGACGCTTCGCCCCACTCATCATTATTCACTCCGTGGATATGCTGTGATTTCTTGGGTACAGCGGTGTACCCCTATCACGCACGCACATAGAAAGGAAAGGGAATATTAAGTTTGTAAGTGTCTCTCCTTGAGTTTCCGCAAAATGTGATTTGCAGGAAACGTCATATGACAGAACGTTCTGAAAGTAGAGACAGTGTGGGTTAGCGGTAAAAGCGTAATACTCGGAACCATGGAATTCGGTAAACTTGGCAAACGACGTGGTAGTGACAGTGGAGACGTCAAATTAAGTGTCAAGTATGCATACCTAATTAAGTTAATACAACACAAGAACATTTTTGCGTGGTAATACGAAGACGTAAGAGAAAACACAGAACATAGAGAACCAAATACTCTAATTTATCAGCCGACAAAGGATAAGGATGGCTGTACATAGAGTGAAATCCCGGATAAATTGGCTCGAGATATTTGAGAAAAAAAGAGCTTTCGAATGTCAAAGATAATCGTACATAGCTTCTCAACATTATATGTAGTTAAATAGAAAGAGATTTTAATTTCAGGAGGTCAGTCGCAATACAATAACGGTACAAGATACTACCAATTTTATCGCAATCATGCATAAAGCATTACGTTCGTTGGAGAACGTTAGTGCGACGCAGTAGCAGGGCCTTGTTTTGAAGAGAATAAAACAGTTTGCCGCCTAAGAACAGCGGTTCTTCTTATCTATATGTGAATTATTAGACTTATAAAACCATTTCTATTTCATGATTCATATCTAGTGGGTGGTGTGCGGAAGTGACCTGTTGAGTGTGTTTTATCAGGAATTGTCGCCTGTCCTCAACAACCACCACTACGCTGTCGCTGAACCATATCCGAGTACTACAATCGATACATTCACCATGCTGTCGCGAGAAAATACAACAAGCAGCCGCTTTGGAACGAATGGCTGTTTTTTTTATAATGATGGTGATGCTCCTCGGATGATTTCCACCTACCCGCCAAGGTGGATATCGGTCAAGATTGAGGAGTATCACCTGCTCTGAAAATTTGAAGTGCTAATAGGGGTTACTACAGAGTGTTGTTAGTAAATTCGAAAGCTAAAAACAAAGATTTCTATATTACCAGAACCTTTCAGACATTCAGACAAAGCTTGCGCTGAGAGATCACATGTGTAACAGTTTCAGTTACGTGAAATTCGGCTAAAGAAAGTATGCCCATCATTATTGTTTCGGTGTTGGGGCGCAGCTAGAGTACGAAACCTAAAGCTTTTTTTTATAGATAGAACCTGTGCCGGCACAGGTTTTTTACAGCGAAAGATGTTATGAGATCACAACTCTAGTCATGCACGTGCAGTTGTCCGCCACCACCGCCACCGCTGGTGTCCGTAACCCCATCACGTGAAATTAGAAGACAAAAAACCTAGCACCAATGACACAGTGGGGCTCCAACCCGGGTCCCTTGGGGTGCCAGCCTAGTATTCTACCACTGAGCCACACCGGTGCTTCTTGTTGGCAAACTTGCATAAGACAGGCTTGATGTCGGGAAAGCAATCGCGATTATTACGACTTATAAAGCGTTTTTAAAACAGCGAAAGAAGAAACAGTCGTTGCACAATGTGAATAGCGTAACGAGTTGGTCGTCCAATGCTCGAACTCATTACAATAGCTTGTTCTTGTTATGGAAGACAGTGCTGCTTGTGGTCATTGCGGCAGCGATGAAACTATAGAGCACGTTCTTTGTCACTGCCCTCGTTACAGCGTGCAAAGACGGCAACTAGCTGCTGCGTTAGCTCGCCTTGACGACAGACCTTTGTCTGAACAATCAGTGCTGGAAAGACGACATGATTTGTGTGCTCACAGAAATCAGTGAAGGCCTTACTGAAATTTTTGCGTGGCAGCGGCCTATTGTATAGACTGTAGCACCCCAGCTCCCCCCACCTTTTTTTTTTCGCGCGCGTCTATTTTCCTCTTCGCTTTCTTTCCAATCTTTCTTCCCCATCCCCCCTTCCCCTAGTGCAGGGTAGCAAACCGGATGCTCCATTTTCTGGTTAACCTCCCTGCCTTTCCCTCATTTTATTCTCTCTCTTGTTCTTGTTGACCTATTAACTGTGGCGCATACCCACTTCAGCCATATATCCCCATCCTCGTCAGTCACTGCATGAGCAATTGGCCAAAATTCCTTGCAGGTGTTTAGCGTATACCACGCTTCTAAAAAAAATGACGAAAAATAGCATAGCGAATGCCAGCCTATAATATAAAAAAAACTTATTATTACTGCCCTAGTAGGTATCAAGCAAATGTGCTTGCAGTAGTTACCCAATGAGTGTTCTGTTTTCAAAGGCCGCTCTTCTACCGTTTACTGTGACTGTACAGCACCTTCCGTGCAGGCCTGGCGTTTTTTGAAAAGCCCATGTTGATTAAGTACATTGCAGACAATGTAATAAAACCCGCGTGCTCTCGACAAAGAGTACATTCCGGCTAGATTTCTGCATTTAGGACGATTTACATTGCGCGCAACTTAAATATATATCCTGCCGACTGAACGTTAAGCTGTCTGAATCGTGTTTACTCCAGACATTCGCGAATATCTAAAACAGGTACAGTGGAAATGAATAGCAGGGCGCTCTGGGAGAATATCCCATCTTATTATACATAACCATGTTTTATTAATAACTTGGAGTTCTGCCTGAGCCATCGTAGATCCTTGCCTCTTTCATAGGAGAGATCAAAATTCTCCTACGCCAAGATCCTTACCACGCTCCCTGATAGAGTGGCTGTCAGGGGCATGAAAAGCTGCACTGTTAACGTAGATTGCAGCAACTCATCCTCAGTCTTGTGGCCCAACAGCATATATAGGGAACTGCCTCGAAAACGCTTGACTAGCGAGGGTATATAGGCTTCCGTGCACTTCACGCCTCGGCCAGCAACCCCCGAGCCATTTTTGTACGCCTTAATCTTCAAAGAAGTGGCCCCCGCTATAAAGTCGAGAGTTGACCGATTGCGGCGTAAAACCTCTCGTAACACTCTCGCTGTCGGCCTACTTGACATTGTTTATCGCTCCTTTTGAAGCGCCTCGACGCAGGCGCTAAGAAGCATTCCAGCTGACATCGTGGTAAAGTCTGCGTAAGCGTTTAACAACCTTCCTCACTCTTCACGGTGTCATAAACAGCCAGTTGACCGACGCTGGCTGGCATTGTGAGCACGCGGCGTTGTGGTAATCTATCCCCGTGTCAGTAGTGGGAGACTCTGTGCGCGTGACAAGCCATTGCTCAAGATCTAAAGAGGTCACTCGAGTGCATTTTCGGTTCGCTACCTTGGAGAAGGCCGCGTAATTGGAACAGCAGTGAATTAGCGGCAGGGTTTTCTACTGTGAGAGTTGCTGTACAACGCGTCATACAAGAGTTGCCCACGCAAGTGTGCCATATCTTGCGACTAGCAGGCAGCACTTCAGAGTTTGGTGTTTGTCCAGCTAAGAGGACTCATGGGCAATTTGTGGATGAATTAAGAAATTACTATCATCAAGCTCGAGCGAAACGATACGATATGATATATGGATGGCTATAAGAGCTTAGGGCCTGTATACGCGCTATCCGCACCGCCGTACCGCACGTGCCGGAAAACTTACCACACGTAAGCGAAGAGCGAAAGAGCGTCGATACTCATTACCCCCTTCGTCTGCGCGTGGCAGGTGCCCCGGAAACTGTGTGGATATCAGCGTTTACCTGCCCTTACGGGTATTACTTGCTAACAAGTAGATGTTGACGCTGCTCGATTTAGCCCACAAAGCGATCGAGTGGTTCCTATCGTTTTTCCGAGGCTTTATGTACCCAGACAACTTCATTATACTGAATTAAAACATTACACGCACATTTTGGTCGCCTCCTATGGCTGCAAAGTTGCCGCCTGCGTAAACTTCATTCTTCTTTGAAGCTACAGTCTTCGTAAGTTTTGCCGTTTTGGTGTTACGTTCACAAAGGCGCACTTTTTTTTATTAAAATGATGAAATAGGAGAGGTTGGTGCCATTATGGGGGCACCGACTACTCCTTTTTCTCAGTAGGCAAGATATGCCGTGAGATCAACAATAAGGGCACAAAATGCGAGCCTGTACAACATACAATGTTAAAGTACACATTAACGAAACTTCACAGGGCAGTTCACATACAGGTTAATAGGTTCATATTTTCCGACACACAAGGTCAGTTCTCCTCACATGACAGACGCACTCCTTT